CAATCTTATTGGATATCATGAGATGGTGGACGGACCGGGTACGTAGGGAACCCTACCGTGAACATTGCCTCATACTGGATGGGGTATGGAGACGACCCGTTTTACCTTCATATCGGACGGAGTATTGAGGGATGATATCTTTTAGCACTCATACCAAATGGGATATAGGGACGACTTGTTAATTGAAAATGAATAAAGAGGGTTCACACATAGTGGGGACATCCCTATGAACCCCCATGAATACTAGTAGACTGATAAAAGGGAAGGTCATTGTTTTAACTGATCATATATAAAATTATTGTAAGTGTTATGTTATTGACTCTATAGGTTATTTTTGGTAATCTCGTTACGGTAAGTATACGGTAAATGATTTTATTTATGACAAATGAATTTATTTAAATTAAGAACTCCATTAGTTGTTTTTATGATTTCTACCAATCTTCATTTCTGTATCGGTAAGTAGCGTGATATTCTTATTGGGGTAGTGTAGCTCACTCTTTCATTAACCATTTTAGATCAAGAGGACCAGGATTCAAAGCCCGATCCACAAGAAGGTTATAAGTAGGATGTTCAGTTTGTTTACTTTTAATTTATTCATTTGGTTATTAGTTGTTCTTTAGAAGGGTTATTCTCATAACTCCTATTGGTACTTTCAGTTATTGTGTAAAGAATGTAAACCCTAATTTATTATTTTGCTTCCACACTAAATTTATAATTTATCACATTTTTGGGGTTGTTACAGTGGTGGCTCTGATATAGCGGCAATGGTGGTCAGCCTCCTTCACCGGCGTCTAGTTCACTTTTCGACCACCCTTATTCTTCTTCTCTGGTCACCCCTCTATTAGGTAGGGTTTTAGTTCCTTGCAAATAGGAGTTTAAATACTCATCTCCATTCGATTCAGATCATCTATTCGAGTCGACGTGGAGCGAGGAGAACTGCCCGATCGTTGCCTATTTAGGCTGATTACGTGTGCGAATCAAGACCGTCCATCACAATCAATCTCATTCGTCCGGTCGCATTGAAGAGGAAATAGATTTCGGTCATTCGTGCATGCGGGATGCGATCTGGACCATTGGATCGTCTAGGCACGCAAATCGCTCGTGTGGTCTCTCGCATGGAACTGATGTCAGCGTGTTCACCACGCGGCGCGTTGTGACTCGCTGTTGTTGCTGACATGGCCGTCCCATGTGACTGAATTTTTTTTTTATTTTACCCCCTATTTAAAATTTTTCTTTCAAAAGCACTCCCATTATTCACAGTTTCTCAATTTTTTTTAAATTATTTTCAATTTTATCCTTAAATATATTTTTCTAAAAAATTTCACAAAATTAAAATAGAATAAAAATTAAATTATTTTAATATATTATTTTATTAATTCTAAAGTTATCTAGGACTAAATTTTCGGGCCTAAATGTTATAATGACAATAATATTATTCGATTAATAGCGTCATTTAATTAAACAAATAACTAATCAACATAAGCATTGATTATGACAATAAAAAGTTTATGTTAAATGTGTTAAAATACCCATATTTTTATATTTAAAATTTTCTTACTTTTTAATTTATTTATAGATAAATTCTTATGATTAGGTAAACGAATGAATTTTTGCTGAGTATGTGAAGAATAAGTGGATGGCACATACTATTAATTTTTGAAACCATTCACTCTCGCTATGCATCTAAGAATGTGATAAAAGTTTGCAGATAAATTTAAAATAAAAAAAAATTATTTACGATCAAATTAAAATATCAATTGAAAAAAATTATAAATATTTAAATTTTAAATTATAAATATTTAACCAATAATGAAAACACATCAAATTTTTTAGATTTATTATGGAAAAAGGTTATAATCTCACGATTGTATTTATATTTTATTCATTATTATTTATAAAATATATTTCAACTCAATTATTATCACAATATTTTAATCAATTATGTATTTATGAGCACCACAATTATTATTTTCACTTTTTTTAAACTAAAAAAATATTATTGTAAAGGGTCGAAATTTTAAAGGGAAATGAATTCATAAAATTAAATGTGGAAGCGATTAATAGAATTAGGATTTACATTCTTTATATAATAATTTAAAATGCTCAATAGAGTTACAGAATGTCCCTTCTATAAAACAAACGGTAATTAAAAAAACGAAAAGAAAAACGAATACAAAAGTACCCTAGGACAACATTCATTAGCACTTGAAGGGAGTTCGAGTGATGAACTACTCACAACTCTCTTGTTGATCGGGATCTGAATTTTGGTCCTCTTGATCTGAAATGGTTAATGAAATGGTGAGCTACATTAGTCCAGTAAGAATATCACACCAATCACATATACGAAAAACTGAAGATTGGTAAAAATCAGGAAAACAACTAATGAAGCCCTTATTTTATTTAAATACCTTTAAACTTGAAGACGTTTGTTTGATACTTACTATAATGAGGTTTTTTAAAATAACCTATGAAAACTCATATCCACACCATTTTTTCACTTTTATGTATAAGAAAATAAGAGACAATAACTTTTCTTTCTTACCTATTTACTGGTACCTCTGGGGGTACATAGGGATGTCCCAACTTGTGAACCCAATATTCAATTTGATAATTAACCGACCGTCCATATATCCTGTCCAATAATAGACGTCAAACATTCAATCGTCTCGATATCTCGTCCAGTATGAAGGTGAATCATATCTCTCAAACATTTTTGGTAAGGGACTTTCCAACTCCGTCTAACTGAGTAACGTTCACAGTGGGATTCTATATGTACCGGACTTGTCCACTATTTCCATAGGTATGTAGAAAGTCTTTCACATTCAAATTTTTATCAACAAATAACCAATAAATGCATATCAATATCTTATATTATATTTACAGGTTAATTAAACAATATTTATGCAGTCGATATAACTTATCATAATAAGGGATCAAGTAACCAGATAACTGAAACTAGATAAATCGATAAGACCATTGAACTACAAATTAAGAACATGTACTATATGAAAATCAAACAAATAAGACATTACAACAAAATAAACAAGAAATCAAGACAATTGTGAACTAATTAGTTCTGTCTCCACTAGTAACCTGTAATTATTTTTAGGATTTTTTTATTTTTTCATAAAAAAAATGAAATTATACATCATTAAGTTTCAATTTACCGTAACGGAGAATATGGTAAGGGATCCTTACCAGGATCGGTGTTTTGAGATGTCGCACTATTTACCACACTTCCTAATGGGTACCATGTTCCCTAATTTTTTTTGCAAAATTCAAAACACTCGTTACATACATAAAAAATATCCTAAAAATCTAAAATCGGTGTCTAAAATTCTTTATGAGACCAAATTTAGAGTTCCGGCATGGCGGCGGTCCATCTCGTCTAGGCCGATTTTGTTCAGCTTTACATGTACCCCTGCGAACATGTTAGGAGGTCTCAGTTGGCAAAAAAATTACCAAAAACACCAAACCTACTGGTAGGGGGTCAACAAGTGCCGCGGCCCGCTTATCCTCCTTCACAAATGGGGTTCCTTCTTCAGCTAACCTGCACAGAAAAAGACGGTGAATACAATAGTAAAAAAAAATCATGTGAAACGGGAATGGGGAAGAGGCTTGTTGGAGGGATTTTGAAATTTTGGCCGCAGCGGCTCCGCCAGGCTTTACTTGCAGTTTTTGCTCACATGCCATCCTTCTTGCTCTGATTTGGTCACATGAATGCTCAAAATCGAATTCTGAGCTGGCATGAGAAATTTTTACTTTTTTTGGCAGTCGGTGGTGGCTCTGATGTGACGGCGATTGATGGTCGACCTCTTTCTCCGGCGCTTGTTTCTTCTTTTCCGGCGGGGCCTGGCAGCTAAGGTTTAGGTTCCTATACGTTGCGAAATATTTATACCCATCTCACGTTGATCTGGACCGTCTATCGCGATTGATCTCATCTGTCCGATCGCACATAAGGAGAACACAAATTTGGACCGTCCATCGCGATTTATCTCGGCTGTCTGATCACGCCTAAGAAAAAAACAAATATAAGTCGTCCACATGTGCAGGATCGATCCTGGACTGTCCGATTGCGAGGCACGCGGATCGCCCGCGTGGCCTCTCGTGTGGCACCGATGTCAGTGTGCCTTGCCATACGATGTGCTCTGATTCGTCGGAATTGCCGACTGCACGGTTCTACGTGACCAAACTTTCTCTATTTATACTTTGACTCTTTATTTCTAATTTTTCATTCGAAAATACCAATCGAATTCAAATTTTTACACATTTCTTTCAAAATTGCTTTCAATTACATCTCTAATATATTTTTTTCAATTAATTAATCAAATTAAGTTTAAATTAATTTAAAAATAAGTATTTAATTTTTTTTTATATATTGTGACAAATTTCGGACTCAGATATTACAATTATTTTTACTATTGAGGAAAACAAAATGATTATTTTCACTTTACCACTCTAAAAAAATGAGAAGTAAAAAATAAAAAGGTTTTCTTTATTGTTTATTATGTAGTTTTATAAATTTTTTATTAAATAAATTACATTTAAATTAAATAAGTAAATTAATAACAATATATGAAGTTTTTTAATTTTTATACGAAAAATAATAAACTAGATCTAAAGGTGATATATAATAACTTTTATATCAAATTATTAATTTAATTTCTAAAAAAAAATTCACTTTTTTAACATTTTATATCTCTTAAATTTTTGCTATAATTATTAATTTTTTATAAATAATATAAAATTTTATTTTACGAATAAAAAATTTATTAATTATAATCATTATAGTAAAAATAGGTTACACAAGTCTTCTTAAATTTAAAGGTGTCATCCTTTTTCTTTATTTAAGCGGTAAAAAGAACAAGACATTATATATTATGTATATATATTTTTTGTGAATTCTACAATATTTTAATATTAATTAATGTTTATTATTAATTTTCTTTTTTTAAAAAAATAAAAAATTATAAAAGCAAATCCAGTTGGCCAAAGAAATTTCCGCCAACGCCAGCTTCAGTTTCCTCCAGCCGGGTAATTGACTCGTTATCGAATCCCGGGTACGAAAAGCGGACGTAAGAGGATTGGCCAATCCAGCCTCTCCTCGTTAACGGGTCGTACCGGAATCCGAGTCGGATCCTTCTACCTCTCCGGCTCTACCCACACGGATCTGCTCGCTCCGATTCAACTCCAACGTCTCTCTCTTTCTCAAATCCAACCCCAGCTTGACATTCACATATTTTTCCAATCCAGATCTGCTCTCTGCTTGTCCCAAAACTTTTTGTTTTTTCTTCTCATAGAATTTGGGGGATATTCGCCATTTCTGCAGAAAAAGTTGCAGAAAAGTTGAAAAAAGATGTTGGCAATCCCGTATCTAACTGCTTTAACGACATACTATAGTTATGGATTGCTGTTTGCTTTTGGCCAAATCAGGGATTTCTTCCGGAAAATTATAGATTGGAGCTCGAACAATAATCTTCAGGTTCATTTTCATTATCGATTTTCCTTTCATTTGTTATTTGTTGCTGTTGTTTATTTCTTTGTGTTTTGCGAAATTTTGTATATGAATATTATATATATTGTGGGTGAAGCAGGGGTATCCTCCAATCTGCTTAGGACTTGAAGATTTCTATATCCGCCGTTTATATCTCCGTATTCAGGTAACTTGATGTTGTTCTCATGGGTTTTATGCTGAAATTAATATATTTCGCTGTTCATATTTTCATGCTGATCCGATTGAATTTTGAAATGAAATACATGTTTAAGTAGAATGTATGAGAAAGAAAGGGAACGTCTTATAATCTTATTATGCGAGGACAACTGTAGAACAGGATTCAGGGCAGTATACATGCAGTATAAAGGAGAGTTTTCTTTTTGACTTTTTAGGCTTTTTTTTTTAAATTTTGTTTTTCCAGTTTTTGGTTCTATTCACCAGAAGTTTCTGAACCAGTCTGATATTCTTCTTCAAACAGTAGTCTTAATCTCGTCTTCTTTTTTTTTTTCTAATGTGGATTGACATGAGTTTATCATTATATCATCTGTTACAATCCACTAATTGTTTCTTTAGGCAAATGGAATATACCCTGAAATTTATCCATATTTGTACTTGCAGTTTTAACTAAAATTACCTTTGGGATTGAGATTTTCCACTACATGAATGTTCTCAATCTTTTTACTCTCACAGGATTGTTTTGGACGACCAATAGCTAGTGCTCCGGATGCTTGGTTTGACGTTGTTGAACGTTACTCCAATGACAACAATAAGACACTAAA